CACAGGCGCCCGCCACAACGCCCGGCTATTTTTTGGTTGCAGCCGTCATTGTTGTCTGGCGGGTCCGGGCTGGGGACTCGAACCCGCCACCTTAGGTGTACGTGGCTGGCGCCTTAGCCGGTTGAGCTATAGGCGCTGAGCCTACAAAATACTTTTGGAGATAGCAACTCAGGATATTTTGCTGCCTGAGGGTGGAAATAGGGAAAGCTGTTTTCAGTCCTTAGGGGTTAGAGCTCAGCTTTGGGGCCCACATGGGGTTTTCTGTGCATCCTTTTGCTGGCTGTGAGTATATTGTGTCCAGCCTCCATTCACCAAGGCAGATGAGCAGGAACGTGGTGTAGTGGGGAGGGATCTGGGATTTCCAGGGCAGGTTTCTTTGTTCGTTCATTGTTAGCCAGATCTGTGCAGTTGTTATTCTGTTTTCCCTAGCAAGGGCCAGGCTGTGCTCAGCACGGGAATACCGGTGAGCAAAACTAATCCCTGTTCAAGGAGCTTACCCAGAGTTGGGGAGGCACGTTTTGGCACACAAATAACGGTGTTGTTATATGCTTAGAAGCACAGCAGACCAGTGGGAATGGGCAGGGGGTTGCTGCTGAAACGCGAAGGAAAGATGGAGGAGATTCCTATGGGTGAGAGGAAGTGCTAGTGCAAAGGCCCTGGGGCCAGCTATCCAGGAACTGAAAGGCTAATGTGGCAAGAACCACATGAGAAGGAAGGAAGGAAATTGAGGAGGAGGAAGGAGATGGAAGAAGAGGAGGGCAGGGGCCACCCATCAGGGATTTTAAGTCTCATCCCAACAACAAAGAGGAAGCCAAAGACGTGGGAAAGGGACCGGCAGGAGCGAACTTGGCTTTTACAAGAGACTCAGCTGGCTCAGTGCCCGTAACTCCGTGGTTAGGGTGCTGACCACATGCTCCAGGGCTTGGGGGGGTTCAAACCCAGCCAGGGCCTGCTAAACAATGACAGCTGCAACAAAAAAAATAGCCAGGCGTTGTGCCAGGCACCTGTAGTCCCAGCTACTGGGAGGCTGAGGCAAGAGAATCACTTAAGCCCAAGAGTTTGAGGTTGCTGTGAGGTGTGACACCACAGTACTCTACCAAAAGGTGACATAATGAGACTCTGTCTCAAAAAAAAAAAAAAAGACTCAGCTGAACACAGAACCCCCTTCCCCTGGATAAAAACAGGAGTCAGTGAAAGGTGACTGCAGTCCCAACCGCTCAGGAGGCTGAGGCAAAAGAATAGCTTCCCTGTGTTCAGGAGAGAAGGCCACGCAGGGCAGAGGCAGTGACTGGTGAGTTCCAGGCAAAACCCACCAGACCCTGATTGGAGGTAGCAGGAGAAAGGTGTCCAGGTTAGCGTCTGGATTTGGGGCACACACAGTGGAGGGGTCCCTCCTTAGCCTGAGGAAACCAGAGAGAGGGCAGGACATTGAACCCTTTAGAGGCATCCACTGGAGTCCTCTGCCTGCTGCCCCTGCCTGGAGCCCCACCAGCTGCACAGAGGTGCCTCTTACCCTTCCAGTACCGCTACACAGCCACCCACCACCTCCTCTGAACCCGTCCCATGTTCTTCAGTGTCTGCTGATGGCTTCTATTAGCTACAGCAGGGATTGCCTCATAGACCTCTGTGCCCGCCGACCCCCGTGGAGAACAGTGACCTTGGCTCATGAAATACTGTTGAATGAATGAGAGAAATGTCCCTTAACCACTGCACCGCCACCTCTAGGATTATAGGGGTGAGCAACACCACCCGGCTGTCTACAAAAGTTTAAAAAAAAAATTGAGAGAGCACAGCCAAGAGTCATCTGGAGGTCCTTCCCACTGTGAAAGTCCATGCTGTGGCAGGCAGGGGTGGGTGTGTGTGGGGAGGCAGGCACAGCAGTGGCCACAGGCTGGTGCTAAGAAACGGAAAGGGTCCAGAAGGATTAGTAGCACCCTTGGTAGCATTTTGCCTTGCAAAATCCTGGGCAACACACCTTTGACTCTCCTCCAGCAAGCTGAGCCGGGAACCTACAGGCTTCCTTCTCTAGGCTGTGAGGGTCACTGGGGTATCCCCAGGGTAGAACCATCTCCAGTCTCATGCTGGGAGACTCTGGATCTGATTTACTGTTTGGTTCCTTTGGGTCGGTATTGGGGCAGGTACCTGGGACACCCACACTCTGATGGCCTTGTGTTTGAGATTGGCGTAGGTATATGGGTCTTCCCCACCTCCTTGGTCTGGCAGGAATAAGTGGGGGAGTGGACATTGGCCACTGGCTGGTCTGGCCACCCCTGACTGCCATGACCCTAAAGGCAAGGGGTTCAAGCTGGGCCAGGGGCTTCAAGAAGGGGTGAGTGGGGTTGACAGGCCAAGGGTCCAGCCCTGGAGAAGCCTCACCGGAACAACAAGACCATTACCCAGTGTGATGGAGGGACACAGAGCCAGTACCCCTCTTGGGGGCAAGACCATACCTCCGACCTCAGGGGGCACAGGCAGACGTGGCATTGCTGCTGTCTGTGCCCCGGAAAAACCAGGGATGAAGCTATCAATATCAATAACTCTTAGCATTTCTCCTGCTCCCCTAAAACCAAATAAGGATCATTACTTGTGCTTAAAAGCTGCCCAGGACCTCTGCCTAGAGCCCCACCACTCAGTGAAAAGCACTGGGGTTT